GGGCTCCTCGTGGGTCACGAACTCGGTGGCTCAGAATCTTTTCGGGCATGATGACTGGCTCGGTTGGTGGTCGGGTCATGCTGGTTGGGCGATGTCGGGCCAGTTGGCTGGTGGATGGGATGTAGGGGCGAAGTAGGCTGACGTGGAAGGAGGGGCTGACGTGGAAGGAGGGGCCGACGTACCAGTCAGCGGGGAGGAGGTGGGCGGTGACCGGTGTGACCATGTGGCTGATGCGGAATGGCCCACAATATCGGGGGCGGAGTTTCAGAGTTATGGGCAGGCGGAGGTTTTGAGTGTTGAGTAGAATTAAGTCGTCGGGTTGGTAAGTGACTGGTCGGCGGTGGCGGTCGGCGTTGCGCTTAGCGATAACGTTCGCCTTTTTAATTGCGTCTGCTGCCCTGGTCCGAGCTTCCTGTAAAATTTCTGCGAACTGTTGCGCTCATGGCACCCGGTTGTCGGGATTCGGGGTCATGGGTACTGTAGGGTCTTGTCCGTAGTTCAGGTAAAATGGCGACTGTTGGGTCGTGGCGGATGGCGAGTTGTTGTACGCGAATTCGATTAGTGGAAGTTGCTGTTCCCAGGTGGTGGGGTCGTCGCATGTGGCCCGGATTAACTGTTCCATGGTCTGATTTGTCCGTTCTGTCTGTCGGTCGGTTTCGGGGTGGTACGAAGAACTGAACTGCAGCCTCGTGCCGAACTGCTGCCACAGGTTCCGCCAGAAATTGCTGGTAAACTTCGTATCGCGGTCGCTGATTATCGCGGTGTGGGTCGGCGATGCGCAGTACGGGCGGTGAACAGAGGACATTTTTTAGGGTGGAGAAGGCAGCATGCTCTTTCCCCCCCCACGTAAAAGCGACCCCCTTCCTCAGCAAATCCGTAAGCGGGGCCGTTAAGCGTGCCATGTCGGGGACGAACCGGCGCACGTAATTAACAAAACCCAAAAAACTCTGCAGTTCCGTGATGTTCGTCGGGGGGTGCCATGCTTTTACCGTGTCCAATTTCTTCGGGTCGATTTCTACCCCAGCCTCCGAAATAACGTGCCCCAAAAACTCTAGCCTGTCCTGAAAAAACTCACACTTGGAACCCTTTGTCAGTAGTCTGTGTTTGTCTAGAACTGTAAAGACTGCTTCTAAATCTTCTAAGTGCTGCTGCTTATCCCGACTGTAGACTAGGATGTCGTCGAGGTAGATGATGACGCATTTATCTAAGAGTGGTCTAAATGCCTCGTTCATCGTCATCTAAAAAGTCGCCGGTGCGTTGGTCAGCCCGAAAGGCATCACCGTGTATTCGAACGACCCGTACCTAGTCCTAAATGTCAGAATCCCAACCACTAGACCATTGGGATAAAAGGGCTTGTTAAGTAGCGGGTCAGTGCGCCCATAACCCCCCAGGACAACGAGCCTGTAACCCTTCCCTAGGATCAATCGGGGATCACCAGTGGACCTCTGACACCCCCCCGCACTGGGATGCCCGAAGTGCACACACTGGGATTCGAACCCGAGACCTTCGCTCTGATACCATGTCAGAATCCCAACCACTAGACCATTGGGATAAAAGGGCTTGTTAAGTAGCGGGTCAGTGCGCCCATAACCCCCCAGGACAACGAGCCTGTAACCTTTCCCTAGGATCAATCGGGGATCACCAGTGGACCTCTGACACTAAAAGCTGTTTTGGCGCAGTCCGACGGTTCGACCCTAATCTGGTGGTAACCTCCCCGTAAGTCAATTTTCGAAAAGACTCGTGCTGTTCGCAGTTGATCTATCAGTTCGTCGGCGCGGGGGATGGTTTATCGCGATTTAACTGTAACCCTGTTCAGTGCTCGGTAGTCGATACACATGCGAAACCCGCCGTCCTTTTTCGGTGTGAACAGTATCGGTGCGGCGAATGGCGATGAGCTCGGTCGGATAAATGTTTTCTCTAACAGGTAATCTAATTGCTTCCTTAGCTCGTTGAGCTCGGGCTGTGTCAGTCTGAACTGTCGCTGTACGGTTGGCTGTGCCCCGGGCTCTAAATCTATTCTGTGATCGTGCGCCCGCTGAGGTGGCAGTCCTTCGGGTAAGTCGTCAGGGAAGATTCCCGGGAATCGTTTCAACAGTTCCTGTAGTTCCGATGGTACTGCCGCTAGTAGTTTCTGAAAATCACTCGGCTTATCTGCTTCTTCCACTATCGCGATATCCACTGCGTGCACGTCAGCTCCAGCGGCGACAGCCCGTTTCATCGTGATGGCGTTGACGTGGACCGTTGAAGACTCAGGCGACTGCCAGCGAGGTAGCTCCACCCAGTTACCGCTACTTCGCACAGTGCAGCTGCCTGTCGTCCAGTCGATTCGCGGGTTGTATCGTCGCAGCCAATCACGTCCTAGTAAAATGTCGTGCCCATCCAGTGTCGTCGCGAGCATTTCCTGTGTAAACCCGAAATTCCCCCCACAGCGGACTTTTACTCTTTCCACCTTCTCGCGTATGGCCAGCGGCGTTCCGTCAACTAAGCGTGCATCGATCTCTGGTAAGCACCGACTAAGTGTCAGTTGCAGCTTCCTTGCAGTCGCGGTATTAACTAAGCTGTGACTTGCACCTCCGTCTAAAAAAATCTTCACTGCTGCTCCTTGTATTTTCCCGTGAATCAGAACTGGGCAATCCGTCGCTGTACCCTCCTTATTCGTCCGAGCCCGATCGATAGCGTGAATCGGTACTGTGACTCGGTGAGGGTCGGTGAAGCTGGGCGAGCAGGCAGTCTCGTCAGTAGTTGGCCCAACTTCTACTGACTGCTGGCGTTTCCCGGCCTCTGAGACTCTCGCCCCTGCTCTGTTCCACGACGCCTTAGCTCCTCTGGACATTCACTTTTTCGATGGCCCGGCCTATTGCAAGCAAAGCAGCGCCCCTTAAATGGTGCGGCAGCTGCATTCGTCGCAACGGCGTGTACGGTGGCGTGCTCGGTCGGCTCCCGAGGACATTGTCCGTAGTAGGACCCCGGTCTCGGTCGCCGTAGGATGTCGATTTTCTCGGCGAGCGCGAGGATCTCGTTGAAATTCGAGAGCCCGCGTAGCATAATTTCGTGCGATATGTCCGGCTTTAGCCCTCCAACGTAACGGTCCACCCGCTCCGCTTCGTGCATATAGCCGACTTGTTCGCATAGTGCGAGAAAGCCGCTAGTGTAATCTTGAACCGACCCGAGCTGCCGCCAAGTGCGCAGCTTCTGACGCGCCTAAATCGAAGCCGCGATCGGCTCGAAACGCGCCCGAAGCCCTGCGCACCACGCATCCCACGTGCTGTACTGGGCTGTCTTGCAGAATGAACTCCAGGTGACGGCTGGGCCCGTGGGCCCGTCTTCGTACGACGGTGGCTCGTAAGCGCATGGCGACGTCACGATGACTCGCCACCAGTCCATGGCGGGGCCCCTCAGCAGCGAAACAGCATAGCGAATCTTCGCTGCGTCCGACTCGACGTAATTGGCGTCGAAAAACACGTTCATCGTGAAGACTCACGATTGAACCGTCGGACCCCCACGCTGGCTCGGGTCGAAACAGGGCGAACGCTGCGGCTTGAGTGGCATTGGTGTCGTGACGGCGTATTCGCCACTTGTTGCCGCAAATTCCACGTGCCGACGGGACTCGCGGGGCTCCCGTGGGCTTGGTGCGGTCCTGTTTCTCTCCATGCCCGGCATCGAGTGAGCGGCGCCTTCACTGGCTGCGCCTGAGCGTTGTCCCACGCTGTCATTCTGTGTCGGTGTGCCGGAGGAGATGACAATCGGCTCCTCCGAATGTGCAGGTGCGTTTGTTGGCGGTGGTGCATTAACTGTCGATTGTTGGCGAGCGGAATCGCGTTCCGCCGTGAGTGTGGCGATTTCAAGCGCCGATTCTTCGAGTTGGCGCATGAGTCGATCAAATTGCTCCTGTGTCAGCGTCGCGACGTTGAGTTTTGCCATGGTGGGGGTGTCGGGCAAGCTCAGCGAGAGCCTCTGTCGTGGCCGTGCGTGCTTACGAGAGAGCACTACGAGCGGCGGTGCTTGATCACTGAGAGACGTATACCCCCCTCAAAAAAATTGATAGTGGGGAAGCGAAGGTGTGGGTGCGGTCCGAGAGAAGATCGTAGGCTCTGATACCAAGTGTTACGAGTGCAATTGAGTGAGCGAGCGAGGATTGCACTATCGAGACATAAGATACAATGAGCGAAGGAATGAGCGAAGAAAATATAGCGAAACTACGGTGGTAACGGTAACGTGGGAAAATGGGGTGCGCGACGGGCCTGATGCCGAGGTTTGGGGAACTGTCGAGGCGGAGGTCCGGAGCGCGGGTTACCAACCGAACTGTGTGGTTGGGTCGCATCGTGAACAGTGGCGGGAATAGTGTCGAGGCGAATGTCGCGAGTGGTAACGGGATATTGTGGGGTGCTGTCAGTGTTGTACGCGTTGAGCAGGGACGCGAAGTAAGGAAAATGAATTTTCCTTACTGTCAGCGACCTTTGACTTTCGCGTAACCTCCAGCGGTTGCTTTTGTTGACTCGGGTGTTTCTTCGCTGTAGTCTGCTCCGATTCGTGTTAACACTTCGATACTTCAGAAGCGTTTAAGTTTGCCTGTTTCCAACAGGAACATGCCCTATGAGGGGCCGTAGGAACATGCCCTAAGCTACACGAGTCTGATAAGAGGTTGGCCTGATAAGAGGTTGGACAGCAAACACAAAAAACCAGAGCATGCCCATCTACCCAACATCACTCAGAAGAAAGCAAAGATGTATTTGAAATAGGATAGAAAGAAGTTGTTTATGCAAAAAAATAACTGAAAAGAGGAAGTGAAAGCAAACGCCTTGTTTACACGAGCTACAGATTGCACATTCCGGTATGGGAGACTTCAGAGAAGGAGGCCATTGCGCACTGACAGCAGCATAACAGATATGATAACCACCTGAAACACGGGCCACAAGCAAAAACATGGAATTACAGGTTTGCTTGTTAGTTTCGGGAAAATTGGAGCAAACACAGCAAATACTGAAAGAGAACAACAAAACTCATGAAGTGCAAAAAAAAGGAAGTGAAGAAGTGGAAGGGTGAGAGGGGTTGAGAGGGAGATACGGTATAGGTGGATTGGGGTAACATGTGAGAGTGAGAGAGAAGAGGGGGGAAGGAGTAGAGTGAGGCAGGCAATCTGGGGACTGGAGGAACATGCTTGAGTGCAGTTTCCTTACAGCAAACACTACCACGTGCCACATGACACTGCTGGTGGTGAAGAGAGACATACTTCCACTCCCACCCCCACCCCCAATCCCGGCCCCTTGGAGCCCCTCCACTCCCGCCACCTTCTTCCCCGGCTTGCACAGCGAGATGATCTTTGCCAGGTTGGCTCGTGTGGCCTGGGCGCTTGGGTCTGCGTCGTGCACCTGGGAGAGAGACGGGCCCGGGAAGAGGGACACGCGACGCAATGCGATGAGATGTGGTGCAATGCGATGCGAGGAGGTGCAAGGTAATGGATTAGATGTGTCGTGCGCTGCTTATGAAGAACAGATTGTGGTTGGGTCCTGGTAAGGAAGGAGCCAAGAGGACACAGGTGACAGACACAGGTGACATTTGAGTCGACTCAAAAGTCACGACTGGCAGTTAGGTGTCCGGCGCAGCTAGGTGCCTGCCAGACGACCCACCTGCGGATCGACAGTCAGGTAGGTGGCAGGTAGGTGGCAGACTAGGTATGATACACGCACAGACCTTTGCAAGGAGCTCCAATGCGAAGGCGTGAAAGAACGACCGCACATCTACCATGCTCCACGTCTGGTCCATCACCTTGGCAGCTAAACCTGCAGAGAGGAGCAGCAGGACGGTGAGAGAGAGAGTGAGTGAGAGCGAGGGTTGCAGGGAGTTTTGAGGAGAACGAGGGTTGAGTGTGAGTAAGGAGGTGCATTTGCAATGCTCAACGCGTGGACCACCACCTTAGAAGGGAAAGATAGGAGCAGAGGAACAGTGAGGGTAGGGCGACGGGGCGAAGGCAGTGCATGATCTGGCACGACTAGTCAGCTCACATCATGCTTAAAACCGAAATCTTGGCTGCTTCGACCTAACACCATCTTTCAGCAAGCCACCTTTCCCACCCTTCACTCCATGCATCGCCTCACTATCCACTGAAATAGTTCTAGCTACAGTAGAGAGAAGGAGCCCAGTAGTGCACTGCACATACAGTAGCCTAAGGCCGAGGCAGAGTTGACCGGAAGCGAGTGCATAGACAGTCTGACAGTTTGACATGCAGGTGGTGATGTGAGCGTGTGGTGTGTGAGTGATGTGAGCGTGTGGCGTGTGAGTGATGTGAGCGTGTGGCGTGTGAGTGATGAGAGCGTGTGGCGTGTGAGTGATGAGAGAGTGTGGCGTGTGAGTGATGTGCAGCGTGTGGCGTGTGAGTGATGTGAGCGTGTGGCGTGTGAGTGATGTTAGCGTGTGGCGTGTGAGTGATGTGAGCAAGCGTGTGGCGTGTGAGTGATGTGAGCGTGTGGCGTGTGAGTGATGTGCAGCGTGTGGTGTGTGAGTGATGTGAGCGTGTGGCGTGTGAGTGATGTGAGCGTGTGGCGTGTGAGTGATGTGAGCGTGTGGCGTGTGAGTGATGAAAGCGTGTGGCGTGTGAGTGATGAGAGCGTGTGGCGTGTGAGTGATGAGAGCGTGTGGCGTGTGAGTGATGAGAGCGTGTGGCGTGTGAGTGATGAGAGCGTGTGGCGTGTGAGTGATGAGAGCGTGTGGCGTGTGAGTGATGAGAGCGTGTGGCGTGTGAGTGATGAGAGCGTGTGGCGTGTGAGTGATGAGAGCGTGTGGCGTGTGAGTGATGTGAGCGTGTGGCGTGTGAGTGATGAGAGCGTGTGGCGTGTGAGTGATGAGAGCGTGTGGCGTGTGAGTGATGTGAGCGTGTGGCGTGTGAGTGATGAGAGCGTGTGGCGTGTGAGTGATGAGAGCGTGTGGCGTGTGAGTAATGAGAGCGTGTGGCGTGTGAGTGATGAGAGCGTGTGGCGTGTGAGTGATGTGCAGCGTGTGGCGTGTGAGTGATGTGAGCGTGTGGCGTGTGAGTGATGTGCAGCGTGTGGCGTGTGAGTGATGTGAGCGTGTGGCGTGTGAGTGATGTGAGCGTGTGGCGTGTGAGTGATGTGAGCGTGTGGCGTGTGAGTGATGAAAGCGTGTGGCGTGTGAGTGATGAGAGCGTGTGGCGTGTGAGTGATGAGAGCGTGTGGCGTGTGAGTGATGAGAGCGTGTGGCGTGTGAGTGATGAGAGCGTGTGGCGTGTGAGTGATGAGAGCGTGTGGCGTGTGAGTGATGAGAGCGTGTGGCGTGTGAGTGATGTGAGCGTGTGGCGTGATGTGAGCGTGTGGCGTGTGAGTGATGTGCAGCGTGTGGCGTGTGAGTGATGTGCAGCGTGTGGCGTGTGAGTGATGTGAGCGTGTGGCGTGTGAGTGATGTGAGCGTGTGGCGTGTGAGTGATGTGAGCGTGTGGCGTGTGAGTGATGTGAGCGTGTGGCGTGTGAGTGATGTGCAGCGTGTGGCGTGTGAGTGATGTGAGCGTGTGGCGTGTGAGTGATGTGCAGCGTGTGGCGTGTGAGTGATGTGAGCGTGTGGCGTGTGAGTGATGTGAGCGTGTGGCGTGTGAGTGATGTGAGCGTGTGGCGTGTGAGTGATGAGAGCGTGTGGCGTGTGAGTGATGAGAGCGTGTGGCGTGTGAGTGATGAGAGCGTGTGGCGTGTGAGTGATGAGAGCGTGTGGCGTGTGAGTGATGAGAGCGTGTGGCGTGTGAGTGATGAGAGCGTGTGGCGTGTGAGTGATGAGAGCGTGTGGCGTGTGAGTGATGAGAGCGTGTGGCGTGTGAGTGATGAGAGCGTGTGGCGTGTGAGTGATGAGAGCGTGTGGCGTGTGAGTGATGAGAGCGTGTGGCGTGTGAGTGATGAGAGCGTGTGGCGTGTGAGTGATGTGAGCGTGTGGCGTGTGAGTGATGAGAGCGTGTGGCGTGTGAGTGATGAGAGCGTGTGGCGTGTGAGTGATGAGAGCGTGTGGCGTGTGAGTGATGAGAGCGTGTGGCGTGTGAGTAATGAGAGCGTGTGGCGTGTGAGTGATGAGAGCGTGTGGCGTGTGAGTGATGTGCAGCGTGTGGCGTGTGAGTGATGTGCAGCGTGTGGCGTGTGAGTGATGTGCAGCGTGTGGCGTGTGAGTGATGTGAGCGTGTGGCGTGTGAGTGATGTGAGCGTGTGGCGTGTGAGTGATGTGAGCGTGTGGCGTGTGAGTGATGAAAGCGTGTGGCGTGTGAGTGATGAGAGCGTGTGGCGTGTGAGTGATGAGAGCGTGTGGCGTGTGAGTGATGAGAGCGTGTGGCGTGTGAGTGATGAGAGCGTGTGGCGTGTGAGTGATGAGAGCGTGTGGCGTGTGAGTGATGAGAGCGTGTGGCGTGTGAGTGATGTGAGCGTGTGGCGTGTGAGTGATGTGAGCGTGTGGCGTGTGAGTGATGTGCAGCGTGTGGCGTGTGAGTGATGTGCAGCGTGTGGCGTGTGAGTGATGTGAGCGTGTGGCGTGTGAGTGATGTGAGCGTGTGGCGTGTGAGTGATGTGAGCGTGTGGCGTGTGAGTGATGTGAGCGTGTGGCGTGTGAGTGATGTGCAGCGTGTGGCGTGTGAGTGATGTGAGCGTGTGGCGTGTGAGTGATGTGCAGCGTGTGGCGTGTGAGTGATGTGAGCGTGTGGCGTGTGAGTGATGTGCAGCGTGTGGCGTGTGAGTGATGTGAGCGTGTGGCGTGTGAGTGATGTGAGCGTGTGGCGTGTGAGTGATGTGAGCGTGTGGCGTGTGAGTGATGAGAGCGTGTGGCGTGTGAGTGATGTGAGCGTGTGGCGTGTGAGTGATGAGAGCGTGTGGCGTGTGAGTGATGAGAGAGTGTGGCGTGTGAGTGATGTGCAGCGTGTGGCGTGTGAGTGATGTGAGCGTGTGGCGTGTGAGTGATGTGAGCGTGTGGCGTGTGAGTGATGTGAGCAAGCGTGTGGCGTGTGAGTGATGTGAGCGTGTGGCGTGTGAGTGATGTGCAGCGTGTGGCGTGTGAGTGATGTGAGCGTGTGGCGTGTGAGTGATGTGAGCGTGTGGCGTGTGAGTGATGTGAGCGTGTGGCGTGTGAGTGATGAAAGCGTGTGGCGTGTGAGTGATGAGAGCGTGTGGCGTGTGAGTGATGAGAGCGTGTGGCGTGTGAGTGATGAGAGCGTGTGGCGTGTGAGTGATGAGAGCGTGTGGCGTGTGAGTGATGAGAGCGTGCGTACGTACCGAGTCTGGGCTTGATCTCCTTTTGGAAGACCTGGATGTTGTTGTAGCAGAGCGTGAGCGTTGCCATGGCCATTATCTGATGACGGATGGGGCGACAGGGAAGCAGGTACGTACACGCAGACATGCATGGGTTTTGAAGCGCCTCAAATGATCTCCTTTTGGAAGACCTGGACATTGTTGTAGCAGAGCGTCAGTGTGGTCAGGGCCATTATCTGATGATGGATGGGGCGACAGGGGAGCATGCACACACAGACGCATGCGTACGTATGCGTCTGAGAGACGAACATACTGCAAGAGGGCACAACAAGACGACAAGTCGTCAATGTGACCAGGCCCAGGGTCGGGTTTTGAGACACCTCAAAACTTGGTGTGACCAGGCCCAGTGGCGGGCCTTGCACTAGCAGCACTCGACAGCGCTTGGGGAATCTGGGGAGTGTGGAGAATACACCATGTCACAGTGAGTCGCGTGGGAAAATTGTTGTGTAAGGCACACCGTCATCACCCCCGGAATGGCGCTACCACATGACGGGCTCACCCGGAAAACCGGCACTACACAAGGAAAGGCGTCACCTGGGGAGGACGTCACCTGGCGAAAGCGTCACCTGCGGAATGGCCCAGAATCTGAAGATCTGGGCGTCGTGTACTTGAGCGAGGAAGCAGAGGCAGTGCGGCGCGTGGGAGAGAGCAATGGTGACCATGTCGTTGAGACACTGCACTGCTGCTGTGCCGTTCGCCCCCACGTCCTTCAAGTCCTGGTTGGGGGAGGCGGCGGGGGAGGGGATGGGGGAAGGGGGACGGGGAAGGGTTCTGAGGCACCTCAAAAGCAGAGGCAGTGGGGCGCGTGCGAGAGGGCGATGGTGACCATGTCGTTCAGACACTGCACTGCTGCTGCGCCATTCGCCTCCACGTTCTTGAAATCCTGGTTGGGGGGGAGGTTGAAGGGAGGGGGGGATGCAACGTAAGGTGCTGGTGCTGATGTGATGCTGCAATGTGCACTGCTGCACTACCGCGCTGCTGCATTGCTGCAACTGGGGTTGCATGGTGTGAAAGCGAAACTTCACCATTGTTCACCATTGTTCACCATTGTTCACCATTGTCTAAACAAAAACTGGAAACACAAGCTAGCTTGGAATGGTAACCTCTCTCCCCTGCTTCCTCCCCACCTTTGACTCCTTCTACCTCCCTACCTGTACCTGAATTGAAAAACAAATCCCTACGGATAACTTCAATTCCTTCAGACTAACCAGTCAAGCTTCCAGGCGTCCCAGGACAAAGTGGCCCTATCTCTCTCCCTCAGCTGAACTCCCCCGCTCGCCTATCTGCCTGCTCAGTGCACGTTCTCCTTCCTTCCATCACGAGCACTTGCATGCTCACCTCGAGCTGCTGAGCGTATTTCCCCCACACGGCTCGCGGCCAGAACATGCGCGGGGCCGGCTCCTCCTCTATGTCCTCCAGGTAGTCGCGGATGATGTTGGTGTTCTGTGCGGTGGAGTGCGGTGCCGTGCCATGAGGTGGTGGTGCCATGGTGTGCCGTGTTGTGCCATGACATTCCATGCCATGCCATGCCATGCCATACCATCCGGTCCCATGATGCCCCGTGTTGCGCCATGCCATGCCACGCCACATGGAGCATGTAGGAAAAAACGGCAATGGGATGATGGCGGGGAGAATGAGAGAGCGGCAGCAGCGTTGTTCGGAAAGGACGCCTGCGAGATGAGTGGTGATGCTCGTCACACATCCCAGACTCGAGTTCTCCAAGGGCCATTATTAGTATGGCGCAGCATGGCTCGAGCTAACACTCGAGGCCTCTCGAAATGTTTCTGAGATGTTTCTGAGCGATTGTCGAGTCGAGGATGCTTATGGAATGAAACGATGCATGCTGCAGGGTGCGGGGTGCATGGTGTGCTGTGCTGACCTGCAGAAAGAGCCCCATGGTGTTTGAGAGGCCCTCGTCTGCCAGCGGCTCGAGGCCTGAGTGGTGGAAGATGGCTGATAGCCCTATGCCCACCAGCCCCGCCACGTAGTGACAGTAGTCCTGGTACTGCTGCTCCGTCTCCACCTGTGGTGCCAGGGGGAAGAAGGGGAAGGAGGGGAAGGAGGGGAGGCAGGGTGCTTGGGATGGTGTAAGGAACCCAGATGCACTGACAGGGCGTTGACATGAACATCGACCAACGCATGGCATGGCATGGCACGGAGTGACATGGCATGACGTGGCACAGCGCATCATACCTCCGCGGTGATGTACTGTACATGGCCATGGCCACCTCTCAAAACTGTGCTCCTGTGTACATACAGCCATGCCCGCCCCCATGCCTACCTCTCTGGTGATGTACACGGCCATGCCCGCATTTGACAACATACGCGCCATTCTCACAAGAGACTCTCAACTCAACTCAACTCAACTCAAACTTACCTCCGCTGTGATGTACATGGCCATGCCCGCCCCCATGCGCTTGGTGATGTCCAGGATGACCATGCGGTACCTGCCAGGTTGACCAGAAGGATGGGCAGTTCGGGAGCGAGTGGTTAGAAAAGAATAGACGTGGATGGATGAATTTGCAGCATGCACCATTCAGGGAGCAGAAGCAATAGCAGCAGCCAGCCATGTAGCTAGCAGCATTGCAACAACACAGGTAGCAATGTCAGAGGAGTCGGCCATGCATAGGAAGCAGCACTCACTTTGGGTCGAGTTTCTCGAGCGCCCGGCGCAAGTGGTGCAGGTGCTGCATGAGCTTCCGAAAGTCCTTCGTCCCGCCTGCCACACACTCATGCACGCGCGCGCACACACACACACACACAGACACACACAGACACACACACACACAGATACACACCCACACAGATACACAGACACACACACAAAAGCACACAGCACAGTACAGAGCAGCACCGCACAGCACAGCACAAGTCAGCGCAGACGACAGGTCAAACGAGCGGGGGAACACGTGGAGTCGAAATAAGCCATGGGGCAAGAAGAAGCGCACGGCGAGGCGAGGCAGCTTGACTTGACACGCGGTTGATGCTGCTGCAGAGCAGAGCAATGCTGCAATGTACCAGAAGCACGAGCGGGAGGCGAGGCAGCACCGGCAGCACTGGCAGCAGCAACGGCGGCGGCAACGGCGGCGGCAGCAGTGGCAGAAGCGGTGGAAGAGGCGGAAGCACTCACAGACGTAGGTCCAGTTGGGGTCGGTGACGTGCTCGTGGAAGGCGATGAGGATTGGGATCTTCTCCGCGTTGCCCACCCCCATGTCGTCCTCTGCTCGCCGGGGAGCGGACGGGGAGAGGAGGGGAGGGGAGGGCAGGGAAGGGAGGGGATGGGAGGGGAGAATGGGAAGGCGATGAGGATGGGGATCCTCTCTGCTTTGCCCACCCCCATGTCGTCCTCTGCTCGTGATGGCCGCATGGCGCACGCAAGGGGCAGGGGAAAAGGAGGGGGAGAGGGGGAGGCGGACGAGTTGAGGAAGGGGAGAGGATCGGAGGGGGGAATGGAAAGGTGATGAGGATTGGGATATTCTCAGCATTGCCCACTCCCATGTCGTGGGCCGACTCCTCTGCATGGCGCACGCAGTGAAGGGGGGAGGGAAGAGAGGAGGGGAGGGGAGGGGACGGGAGGGGACCGGAGGGGAAAGAGAGTGAAGTAGCAAAGCATGAGAGCAGAGGAAACGAGAAGGAAGAGCAGGAGGGAAGGGCAAAAACGATCCAGTAGCAATGGTACTAGGCAGGCACGCAGTCAGTCAGGAGGCAGTCAGGTAGGAGGCAGTCAGGTAGGAGGCAGCAGGCAGCAGGCAGGAGGCAGGAGGCAGGAGGCGGGAGGCCGGAGGCAGGGGGGGCGCTCACCAACGGTGTCGAGGGCGCGCAGGACGAGGTAGAAGACGCACACCTGGCACACACGCACAGGGTGGGGCGAGAGAGGTGCGGCGAGAGAGGCGCGGCGAGAGAGGTGCGGCGAGAGAGGTGCGGCGAGAGAGGTGCGGCGAGAGAGGTGCGGCGAGAGAGGTGCGGCGAGAGAGGTGCGGCGAGAGAGGTGCGGCGAGAGAGATGCGGCGAGAGAGATGCGACAAGAGAGGGTGAGGTGAGGGAGGGTGAGGCGAGAGAGGGGCAGAGGTAGATGTTGGGGAGGGAGGGACGAACGCACGGTGGGAGAGAAGGGGAGGGATCGAGGGAAGGAGGGAGAAAACGGAGAGCGGGAAGGAGGGTGAGAGGGAGGGAGGGTAAAAGGAGGGGAGGGACTGTGAGGGAGGGAGCGAGCGGGAAGAGGTGAGGGAGGAAGGAACGGAGAGGGGACCCGGGGGGAGAGTAGGAAGGGGATAAAAGGACGTGAGAAGGAAGGCGAGAGGTGGGGAAGCACACGGGGTGGGCACGAGCGGCGGGAGGACATAACACGAGATAACACAGGCCGTGGTGAAGATGAAGAGCGGCGGCTATTTGAGTCAACTGCAAAAGGCACGAGATGCAGAAGAGGCAGGCAGGAGGGGCAGGAGAGGCAGAAGGGGCGGGAGAGGCAAGAGGGGCAGGAGGGGCAGGAGGGGAGGAGCTGCAAGAGGGGAGGAGCGGCAAGAGGGGCAGGAGGCGGGAGGGGCAGAAGAGGCGGGAGAGTCAGGAGGACCGAGGAGGAGCCATACAGCGTGGCGGACAGCGGCAGGTAGCTGCTGAATGACAAAGGCGAAGCTCTTGCTGAGGCGGTTGAGCATGCGGTAGCAGAACGCCAGATCCTCGTCGGAGTAGGTGTGTGTGGCCAACGCCTTGGCCTCCCTGCGCACGCGCAGCAGCGGCAGCAGCTCGCCCGGATACAGCAGAATGTCCGCCAGAAGACCCATGCTGCTGCTGGCGCTGGTGCTGTTGGTGCTGCTGGTGCTGCTGCTGCTGGTGCTGGTGATGCTGGTGCTGGTGCTGGTGGTTCTGCTGCTGCAGATCCTGTGCTGCTGCAGATGCTGTGCGGCTGCTCCGGCTGCTCCGGCTGCTGCTGCTGCTGCTGCTGCTGCTGCTGCTGCTGCTGCTGCTGCTGCTGCTGCTGCTGCTGCTGCTGTTCGTGATGGTGAATGGTCGGTTCCTCCTCACGGCGGCTCTGAGCGTGCAATGCGCTCGTTCCGAGAGTCGAACGACCTCCTGATAGTTCTCCGTAGTAGTAGCTTGTGCTCGGGTAGCCCTTGACGCCTCTCTTCTGTATGCCCAGCTGAATCCCCGGCGGTAGCAGGAATAAGAGTGGTAGGTAGGGTAGCACTGGCAGCAATGGCAGCAGAGGCTGGTGCTGATTTGAATCCGAAGGAAGGGATTCCCCAGGTCAGCTACTACTCGCTACTCGAGGGAACAGGCAGGCAGAGAGCAAGAGGGTTCAAGGCAGGCAGAAGCACGATCAATGCGGACCTACCGAGAGAGAACAAGACTAGTAGTAGACCTACTGAGACGCCTCGGCACGGCGGCTCTATAAATGCATGCAGCGGTAGGGGTGGGGGGAGAAGAGAGCAACGGGCATGATCATCGCAGCTCGGTGAAGATGACTCAAAGAGATCCTGACGTGATGTGATAGGCTACCCCAGCTTAATCTGACCATCCTCATGCTTCATCCCCGGTCTCTGATTCCTTTCCCCCCCCCCCCCCCCCCTCCCTCCGAGTCCAAAGCCCATAGTCCAGACCAGAGAGTCCAATCCGGAAGCATGATGCTCTGACTGACTCCTATCCCCCAACCATGTGTCCGGAGTCCACACACGTGTTAGCTTCCCTCCCCTCCCCTCATCTCGCCCCTCACACCCCCCTCCTCCGCCGACCCCATCGGCAAATCCGCTCCGCTGCATGCTCTACCACAGGTGCCACCAGTGGTGGTGGATAAGATCCCGCCTTAGGGGCGGCGCGGCAGGGGGGAGGGGGGGGGGCGCGGAAAAAGGGTGCGGGTTGGGGGAAAGGGGGGGATCGTCGCGTCTGCCTTGCTGTGTAAGAAGACTTTCACGCGTAAGAATGGGGGTGGCCCGACCATGTTGCCTGCTGTGACTCGTATGTGCTGCTGACCGCGTGGGGTAGTAGGTAGGGGAATGGCTGGTCCGGATCCCGATCGGTTCGGATTGGTTGAGTTGGATGGGAAGTTGGGACAGCCACTGTCCACTGAGCGGCACTCCTCCGCCTCCCCTTGCCTCCTCCCAGCCCCCCCCTGCGTCCCCTTGCCCTGCCTCTTCCCGTCTCCCCGGTGTGGGGGGAATCTCGAGTCAGGAGTTGCCATATTTTGACTTGTCTCGGCGACCGGACTCCCACTCTACTCATTCTACTGTATCCATTTCAGAATGAGCGGGTGGCCCGTAATGGTCTTGGCCCGCCGCGCGCGAACGGACTAAGTACCAAAAGGACAGCGCATGTATGGCTCCATTCCGAACCGACTCGGCCTCCCCCCCACACCCAAACCTACTTGGCATGGAGACACTTTTGTTGTGCTATTTTACCAAGGTTCGGAACAGAGGGTCGGTGGGCACAGCGGGGGTGGAGAGGCGGACTCCTCGAAGGAGGGGGGGGGACGGGCTTGGGGGCCTTGGGCTCGGGAGGAATAAACTATAGTTACACAGGGAACCGAACGTGATTCACGATCACAAATTACTGTCCCGACTCATGATCACGAGGCTTTCTGATTGGCGCAGCGAACCCATGGCCAGATATCTGCTGTGATGATCAAGGGATGGGCATTTGATGCGTTGGCTGTTGCCGGTGGGGTGGCATTGGGTGGCATGGGGGCGATGCGGCGAAAGTCGCGGCGACTGGCAGCGCGCTCTGCGATATGCTTCTGGCGAAGATGGCATATGTTGTGATCGGCGCAACGGGCAGAAGGAAAAGCCAAGCCAAGCGTCCTGGTGAGTGGGGTGGGTGGGAGGCGGAAGGGAGAAAGACATGTCTTCGTAGGCAATCCTCAGTTTGAAAGTTGTTGCACATCACCTGTAACTCCCTGCCCCACTGGTTGGACCACTGGGCCAAAACAGGCCACTGGCTATATAAATTACTCCCCACCCCCCCCCCCCACCCCCCCCCCAACCCACCCTCCCCTTCTCTCCCTCCCTCCCTTCCCTCCCCCCCTTCCTCTCCCCCCACTCTCAACTACAGAACAGTGCGTCGGTTGAGAACTGTAGCCACGCGGATCGCGTGGGACAAGATTACAAATCTTGCTCTCCCCTGCGCCACGACTTTCTTCCATCCACCTCCTCGACTTGCTTTCATCTCCCCCCCCCACCACTCAACCTCGAGCAAGATACACTGTAAATAATCTTGCGCAATAACCAGCAACGTTGCAAGCGTTCTCGTTTATAGTCCGACGGAATGAGACGCCGCGCGCGGACTATGTGCGAAAACCTTCAAACCCCGGGCAAAACGTGATACTTATAGTCCCGTTAAAGAAAATTGCATGAAGAGTGTTTTGTTTGCTACTATTTTTTGGATTCAGTATTTTACGTAGATTCGGACCACGCTTGCTCCAACTTCTCGTTGCACAGTTCCCCGCGCTAATCAATGTCCACATGACTAACGGGCAAAGAAAAACAGAATAAATTATGGTTTGGGGGTCGAATAGAAGGAAATGTAATTGAGATGTCATTGTCGAGCGCGCTGGAGACCGCGCGACAGGATTGAAAAGTAATCACGGTCAAGAGAAACAATTACTTACAACTCTAAAGTTAAATACCGAATCGTTTATCCCTTATTTATTGTTCTCCCTGAATGTTGGGCTGGTTCGATCTGGAGCCTCCGATTGGCTGCGGAGCTGATTCGTGCAATGATTCGGTCAAGAAAGGGACTATAGGGGTCGGGCCAATCCTTGACGATATCGGAAAACTCTATTCAAGGGGGGAAAAGGGCTCTTTTAGCGAATGCCTCTAACCCGAAACATTTGTACACTGTACAGTATTTCAGGGTGTCTGTCTGGTGACGAAAGCTGCGGCGAATAGGATCAGGTCATTGAAGAAGAAACCGCGTCTAATTTATACTGTACAAGCAACAAACAGCCCACGCGCGGTACACATGATGCCCAACCACTGCACGCAAAATTTCCCCGCCCATTTCGGAAACCTTACACCTGTGGGTTTTTTTTCCCTGAAGTTGCACCCTGTGTATAGACACCTGGGACAACTTGCATCCACCTGGTGAATACTCCCGACACCCGACCAGATGGAGGACCGCAAGTCACAACGCAAGTCTGGGGTAGCACTAAACACCCAGGGCTACACAACAATCCGCGCCATTAGATACTGCGTTACACTCACTAATCAGTAGTGCTGCTTGCTAGAACTTATTCCTCGGGTTGACTATAACCGTCTCTAGCGGGTGAGTGTCCCAATTGTTCAAATTTCCTGAATACCCTACCCAGCCATTCTAATAAGGGTCCATTCCGCTCAGGACATGTCACAAAAGAAAGTGTTACAACCGTATATGTGAGTAATTGTGACATCCAAAATCGTATTCGTGACTAATTGTGTATAGCCGAAAATCAAGAATAGCAAGTTTCCAACCATTCCTGGTAAGACATCTGGCTGGATCTTGACTGCTCTTGGTTCGAGGCATCACAATTTGTCACGATTTTGCTATCAGAGTATCACAATTAGTCACGAACATTGTTTTCAGATAACCACAATTCTTCACAAATACTGTTTGTGACACTTTCTTTTGTGACATGTCCTGAGCGGAATGCACCCTGATTTCATTGACCTTCCTAGAACGTATCTCAAATCGTTAAACCTCATAGGAGGGATCTGTTACACCGAAACTGCGACAATTTCACACCCCTTATCTTCACGCCCGAGGGTAGCCACCCTCATTTAGTCTGATGTTGATAGTGGTTCACAACATTATTTGAATTATAGAGGTTATACCCACGCAATCCCGTGGCGAGATTTCCCGAAGTACAAGCATGATGTGGAGATTTTCCCCTCTCAATCTGACTGTAAAGTATGGGTTTCGTGAGGTTGTACGTTCCGGTTATTTAATCATAGACCCATGTTTTCATGGTGCTATTGTCTTCGAACCGAAAACTATTTAAGGTGTCTGGTTAGGGAAGCGTACGGGGTGTGGAATTATCGCAGATTCGGTGCATTCAAATGAGTTTTTGGGCGAGCCGAGACTCGTGGTTGAGTATCACGGAACCACGTATAGCACAAAATAGGGTTCATTGGGAATTCAGGATTGAGTCGGCCCATTCTAAGATCAGGGTTTTGATGTTCGCCCAACATCAAAGTTAGGGCACCATGTCAGCACTATACACGGCATTACGGAGAAGCGATGTTTGGAAATTCGTATATTGTAAGGAGGTTACATGCGGGCCTTTACACGCCATTGATGGTCTATTATGAGCCGGATGGCGGGCGGACAAGTCTGGATCCATGCTCTAAGATCACGGTTCTGAAGTTCGCCCGCCATCCGAAGTTTGGACTAATTTTTTGTTTTCAGCAACCCTTATTGTCAGTCCTGTGTTAGAATGTGAGCGAATGAATGACTGAACTAGAAAGCAGGTGGGTACAAGTAGGAAACCTAAAAGTGTTGTACCCTATATGAACTACCCCACTACAGCCTAAACAGATTATAACATATAAGTTTGACACACCCCCATAGGCAAAGTGGGGGAGAACAAGAGGTCACAAGACCAGTCAAGAAAGACAAAGCAAGCTCAGGGTGGATCACAAAGTCACTACGCAGTATGAGCACAAGCAAGTGACCACAAGGCCAGTTCACATGCAGAGTTATATAAAGCAAAACAAACAATACAGTGAACACAACCTAGCAAGTGTAAGCATGCAGGTATATATGTATAGAGTACAGTACAAGCAGAGTCAAGAAGTAAGCAAGTGAGGCACAGTAG